AAAATGAAAATAGCATGAAAAACCCCAAGCAGAGGGATGTGGCTGTCTGGAGCAGAGTGATGTCGTGTCACAGGCCCTCTCAAAGGCCACGTGAGTTCTAGATATGGTGGGGACCCTGGGCGGGCCTGAGAGGTTTGTGGGGACCCACATGGGGGTGTCCAACATATCACCTGTGAGGAATTCCTTGCACAAATATGAAGAAAATCCTCGGACTGGCTCCAAGTTGCCACAAGCCGTTGGATTGGTTCTGTCTGGCATGGTGGTCCGGTTCTGTCCCTTGCGGAGGCAGCTGGATTTGGCAGTGACCAGCTCAGGGCAGTATCCACCAGGCATCCATCCGGTTTGTGCGCACTGATGTGGCAGCCCCACCTAGGTCTGGAAAGGTGCCGAAGACCCTCCCATTCCCTCCTGCCTCCCCCAGGCATGCTGGTGTTAAAGGAGCCAGCGAGGGGTGAGGAGAAGAGGCTGCCTTGTCACCCCGTGTTAAGGCAGGATCAGCTTTGTCGGGGAAAATCTGTCTGTGTTACACCACTCTGCCCCTGACAGCACAAGGGATGTGCAACAGAGATGTGGGCACCCAGTCCCTGCTGTTCCAGCCCTCACAGGCTGTACAGTGGGCATGCCCAGAAACCTCTCATGTCCCACTCCCTGACCTGAGCCTCCCAGCTCTCAGAGAGGACAGGAGCTGAGCACCTGACTGCACCACCCAACCTGCTGTGCGATGTGGCACCAAAGCTCACGGGACAGTGGCAACACAGAAGCTGGTGGGATAGGTGAGGATGAGAGAATTCAGGAACTCCATGCTCAGTGCCTCCTCCTCTTCTTCATCCCTAGCCACCTCCTTTCCATGGCTCACCACCTGCAGCTTGCTCAAACCCAGCCCAGTGCTGAGGGTGCAAGTTTGTGCTGTGTCTGCAGAGAGGAACGAAACAAAGCTGACGTGGGGATTGCTTCCCAGCAAATCCTGCCCAGCAGAGCCATTTCACGAGGCAAAGACTGAGGAATGGCGGGGTCTAGAGCTTCCAGTGGCATGAACCAGCCACACGCACTACATCAGGGGTATGTGCTGACTGCTACCATCCAGGTTGCTGACCATTAACGCACCATTTTCAGCAGCATTGCTCTACCCAACATCTGTATCACAGAGGCCTCAGACAGATACCAGGTTATCTCTTCCCCAGGTCTCAGGGCCAGTGGTCAGAAGAGAAGAGAGCTGTCGTTTTACACATTTACTTCAACCTGGCGATGATGACGGAATCC